CATGGAGCTTTTTTTGCATTTTAGGTAGACTCAGTTCTCAGTGCTGGGCACACAGGTTTTTATTTTTTATGTTTTTTTTTTCTCAGCAAAATCACTTTTCTGGTTTTTTTTGTTTGTTTGTTTTAGGAAAAGTGAGAGGAAGTCACATTCAGAATTTTTCACTTCTGTTCTTCCTTCTGCAAAAAAGAGGGGATGACAAGTTTGAAAAAGGAGGACAAAATAGTTGAAAACCAAATTCAGAAAATCTTCATTATTTAAAAACTGAAGTGAGTAGCTTAGATTAAAAAATATATTATTTTGATTAATGGTTCTTATTACAATGCCCTTGTTTCAAATGCAACTGTTTGTCTTAATCTTTGCTACACTAAAGAATATGGTGATATGCTCAGTCCATAAGTCTGTGTTGTCATAAACTACACTAGAAGACCACTGTAGGTTTGGTTGTGCAACTGTTCAAGACCTCAGTGTTTGTAAAGCTAGCCTTCCCTCATGGGTGAGCTGCATTATGTGTTCTGTGTAGTGCTCTTGAATAGCAGTTTTGAGCAGATCTATATTCATGGGAGTGAAGGATTATATGCAAAACACAGCTATTACCTGAGTGCGACCTGTGTTAACAGAACTATGGGCTCCTGGGGAGAAAGGAACTGTTTCTGCACATAGGAGACATTATTGAAGCACTTACGAAAAATAAAGTATTTGCTACAAATTGTATACTTTCTGAGGGGAAAAAAAAAACAGATGGAGGAGGAATGTTATTCTTTCTTTTTTTTTTTATTTTTTTATTCTCATTTTATTTTAAGGGAGTTTCACAGTAAAGTGCCTTGAAAGTGGCAGGCTCCTCAACAGTTCCAGTGACAGAAACTAATGTGAGGTATGCTTGCAGGCATAAGAGTTTCTACTTTTAGACAGTGCGAATTCCTAAGCAGTGGATCTGCCTATGAAAGGCTTGTCCATGGCTCTTGGAGGCATGGAAGGAGATGGTATTCCTGGATTACATGCTGTAGGAATCCTTACAGTGTTGGGCTCGCTTGGACAGGATTCCTTTCTGGAGTCTCTGGAAAGTGTAAATCAGAGAGACAGCACACACTTCCTATCAAGAATGAAGTGTGCACTCATGCTGAGCCAGGGTAAAATCCTGACCTTCTTCTCTGTCCTTTCGCAGGCATCAAGCAAGATCTCTGCCTACTTTCTGTGCAAGAGATGGAAGATCCTAGGTGATTTGCCAGGTTTTGTTTTTCTTTTTCTCATTGCATGCATGCTTCTGTTAGGAGTATCTCATTAAGTGTCTGTGACTTGTTTTTTCTGTAATGGTCTAGTTGGTTTTGGACCTGGATTGTCCACTTCTGATTTACGGTTGCTCAATGCAGAGTGAATAAAATGGTGGTCCTCAGGAATCTTTCTGTCCTTCTGTGGGCTCCCATTCAGAGATACTTTTAGCCCTTTTTTTTTTTTTTTTTTTTTTTTAAGGGGCTTGTTAAGTCTACAAGTTCCACCATCTTCCCTGCTTCATTTTGGATCTCTAAAACAGGGATAATAATTCTTCATGGTAGGAGGACTACCTTTGGGTGATATATGCACTCCAGTTTCACTGTTGAAAAGCCTCCAGAGGGAAAGGAACTTTGTTCATCTATTGTGCACAGTAACAGAAGGTGATCCACTGAACAGATGCAAGCACTGACTGGTTTTTGTGCTGAGCACAGATGGCAGAATTCTCTTCCATGCAAGTGGTATGCATGGTTGCTTTGCTTCCCTTCAATCTCATTTAAAGGCTGTTTTCAATACTTAAGGAGGACTTGAGTAGTGCAGGTCTTGCTGGCATAACGGTAAGGAAGATTCTGGGTAAATCTTTCAGAAGTGCCAGGAGACAGTAACTTTTGTTTTGATGCTTCTCATGGATTTATTTTTAGTCTTACAAGTTCTATCTTGCTGTAATGACAATCAGTGGAATTTTGGCTTCGAAATCATGGTAGTGTGTCTGAAGTGTTTCTGTGCTGTCTCATTTCTTTATCTGTCTTCATTTAATGTGCCACCACAACAAGTTTCTATTGGAAAGACTAATTAAAGATTGTTATTAGATGGTTTCAGTTGCTGGTTTCCCCTGAATGGATTTGGAGCTAACAAAATAATTTGTGTGTTTTCCTCCCTTCAGGAGCAGTAAAATGCTGCTGGCTCACATACCATGGATACCTGTCTATCCACTTTAAAGCAACCAGATAGTGTGCTTTATGGGTACAAGGGTCAACTGGACAGTTTCATGAAAGAGAAATTAGCTGAGGGCAACTAAATAGATAAAAAGAGGTCTGGTACAGGAAGTCTCTGATCCTCAAATGGTTGGCTGCTGGGATACTGCCAGGAAGGTATTGTATGTGCACACACAGTTCTGCTCTTTCTTAGATATCTGCTCTCCACTACTATTAGGGGACGGGCTGTTGGGGCAAATGTTTTGTTCTGAGACAACATGGTAGGTCTTTTATTTTCATGCATAACCTCTTTCTCCAAAATAGAAAATATTACCTGCTTTAAACAGCTGAGAGTGTTTACTGTAGAAGAATCAAGATGCAAATCTGCAGGACCTGATCATAGAGTCATAGAAAAGTTTGTGTTGGAAGGGACCTTAAGGCTCATCCAGTTCCAACCTCCTGCAACCGGCAGGAACACCTTCCACGAGACCATGTTTCTCCAAGCCCCGTCCAACCTGGCCTTGGACACTGCCAGGGATGGGGCAGCCACAGCTTCTCTGGAAAACCTGTGCCAGTGCCTCATCACCAGCTTAGCAGAGAACTTCTTCCTAGTATCTAATCCAAGTTTATTTTATTTTCAAAGCTTGCTCTGTCTTAAAAATACCAAAGGCTTCAGCTGCCTATGGGGCTCATATTCCTGTTGATGTGATCAGAAGAGTTAGATGATAAAATTTACAGTGTTGTATAGTTGGGAAAATTAGTAATTTGAGAATGCAAAATATTTGTCTTTAATTCCTATTCCTGCTGCCAGGATCAGTACTAGAGTACTTGTTGCAATGCAGACCTAAGTAGCTGTTGGAAGTTGCTTGTGTCATTTTCCAAGAGTGCCTGGATTGTAGGTTGAACTCATTCTTCTCATTCACTGAGTAGGTGCAACCTAAAGCCAAGGAACACATATAGGTTTCCACAGTTATCAATAAGATAACCCTGCGGCCCCGGTGTCCTGGTTAAATGTTAACAGTCTGCTTCTAGCAGTGTATATCCAGGGTAGTATGCAGTTACTAGTGACTGCAAGCTCAGCATGCTCTGATCGGCAATATTAACATGCCCTGGCATGCTTTCAAATGTCTGTTTTGCTCACCCCCACCCCCAGTTTGTTTCAGTACCATTGCATATTCCTTGTATTTGTGTAGTCTCATATACACTGGTGGTAATTTTGTAGGGTTAAATCTCTCACTGTTAATTTGCCTTTATTGTCTTAAAATATATTGAAGCAGATATATTGTTTGCTTTTGCCCTTAAAATTCAAACAGCGTTGGACTCTTATATCAAATGAACAGGCTGTCTTCTGAGGCTTATATTTTTGTGGTGTTTGTAGCTGGCTTCATTATTCCTGTGCCGCTTGCTGTGACTCGGAAGTGGAAATGCCTAGTGAGCTCATCTTGCCTTTTGAAATCCTGACACGTTAAAGTATTACCTACTTAGGTGCTTAATTAGTGCTTAATTAACATAGTAACTAAGTAACTGGGCTGCAGTAAGTTATGTGTGTGTTGGCACCCTCTTAGGAGCACCAGCGGGCACTGTTAGTAGCTGCCTGATGAGCAGTGAGCGAAGCATTTCTGATAGATGGAGGGGTTCTTGCCTAAGTTAAGCCTGCAACATAGTCAGCAAATTCAGCTTCTTGGCTGGCAGCTCCCTGATAGTGCTTGCAGGTATGAGCAGGAGCTGTTAAACATGTAAGCAATTACCCCATCTGCCTCTGTACCTGCCAACTGTGGAACCGAGCAAGCTTGGGGTGAACATGCAAATCATGCTGCTATGGCACTGTGATGGTGCTGGGCTCTTCCATGCTTTGGTCTTCAGGCCAGGCTGCCTTGCTGCTGCTGCACAGTTCAGAGGCTCTGTGCATATGTGGTTGGGGAATGCCCTGTTGGCTTGGCCAGTTGGATTTAATGGGGTTGAACTTTACTGTGACAGTTTTCCTTATGGTGTGTTGCCACCTTACTGTGGAGACTTGTGTCAGAGCTAACCTTAGGATGGAGCCACAGAGCATTGTACCAGTGACCTGTTACCAGTGCAAAGAGAATGTGCATGAAACTTCCTTGAAGGTGGTGAAAGTATTTGTTTCTCACCAGTTTCCATCTGAACTGGACACTACAGAAAGGCCTCATGCATTTATTTGAAAGGGTCAGTGTGTCAGATTTTAGTCATTGTGAAGAAAATTTATCCAGCTGCAGTGGCTACACACCCCTCAAATCCCGTTTAATCCCTTAAATAATTCTTCAGTGCCTTGGCCTTGTGATGGCCTTCAGCACAGGGGAGGATTTCACCCAGTATGAACAGGTCTGAAGGAATGGGCGTCATCCTGTGAAGTAGGTAACACATACGAGTGACTTAATCCCCTACTGAAATACTGCCACAGCAAACACCTTTTCGCTTCCAAAAGGAAATGAAGAGGAATACCCAAATATCCTCTTGAAGAATAAAGACATACTTTAAAAAAAGTTGAACTGTAATGACCAGAAATGGCATTTCAGCCAGGATACCTGGGTTTAACAGCCTAATGTTTCTTTCAGAACTTCCCCAGGCTTTTTGCAATCACAAGTAACAAGGATCTTGTTTTAAAATGTCTGAAAGTCTGTGCCCCAGATTTGCTGTTAGCCTGATATTAAGCCACATAATTACAGAGAAGTTATTCTGTCTTTATACTGATGTAGTGAAAAGTAATTTGGTCTGATGTCAGCATATATTAAAAGCAGAGTGGTAGAATCTGTGGCACCATAAATAAAAAATCATTGACTGTGTTTGTTTCTGGAACAGGGATGGGTCCTGACTGAGGCATCACCTCTCCTGTAGCCTCGTGAAACCACTGGAAAAGAGTACAGTAAGGTTATTTTGCAGGAGGAGTCTGTATATATGGTGTTTAAAATATAGCCTGCTGCAAATATATCAGAAAACTACAGGCATAGAAAGACTGAGGTAGCCAGAGAGGACTTCATTATTAAAAAAACCAACCAAATTAGAAATGAGTTAAATTCATTGATTTAGCTATGGAGGGTTTTTTATTCACCCTTTGCTTTATTTAATAAATATTGTAACCTTATAGGGTTAACTGTAGGTTAGAGAATGACTGTCTATATGGGACTTAGATTTGTTTTTACTTTGGATATGTTGGCAATATAATTTTTAGCAATATATTACATCTTAAAATGGGAGTGTTTGAGTGATGTGGGATAGTGATAGAAATCTGTGTCCCTTTAAAAATAACACAAAATATAGCATCTCCCCCACCTCAACAAACCAGCCAACAGCCTTCCCCACCCAGCCAGAAACAATAAAAGAATCCCAACCCAAACCTAAAACAAAACCAAACTGTGCTGTTACGCGCTCTTTAATATTGCTTGTCTTGACTAAATGCCTTCTTGGGCATGCTACTGATTTGAAAATTTCTTAAAGCAAAGGCTGTCAGGAAGTTGAAATTCGTGTTACCTCTAGCATGCTGTTACCCTGCCTTCGAAGTGTTATGTCATATTAGAGCTCCTGTGTATGGAATACATGTTGTGTAATGCACCTTTCCATTCTTCTTCTGTAAAATAGTTATTTGATGTGAGGGGTGATGCCAAATGAAGTAGTGGCTTGCACATGTGAACTGTTGCACAAAGAATAATTAAGATGTTTTGTGTGGAAAAGTTTTGCTTTTAAAACACAAGAGAGACTCTGTTACAGCTGAGGGGGAAAGTGATACATCATTTCAGAGGCACCTTTGTGGCCCTAGCCAATGCTTTTATTTGTTGCCTGTAAGATATGTCCATGATAAAGGTACTGCTGAGGGGTAGAAATGACTTTGAATGAGCTTTGGATTGCATTTCTCCTCCTGCTGCTATGGACTAATGAGGTATTGTGGATATATCACCCAGTCTCTCTGTTCCTTGGATTCCTCTTCTGCAGTGCATCTGATATTTCTCTCACTTATATGAGGAGCCCAGGATTACTTCAAGATGGTAGATTTGCTCAGTGGAAGAGTTATGTGTCACTGCATATCCTGTTCAAATGTGCTTCCTCCCTTTTTACTAACTGACAAAAAGGGAGGGAGTTTTTCAGAAAGGGTGAAAATGAGCCGTAGACAGCTGCTTTCTAGGTTTTAGAGAAAACAAACGCCTTTTTCTCTTTTTTTTTTTTTTTTATTTCCTTCCTTGCAGAATCATTCCTGTTTGCTCATTGCCACTGCTGTTATGCACTATATAATACCCAAATATGCCAAAGGTTTGAAAGACAAAGGGAAAAAGCAACTTGTTGGTGAGGGAATTGCCTCAGCAGGAGTTGATGCAGCAAGTCAGACTTAAAAATCATCTGGGGGAAGATGAAAGTGACAAGAATAAGCTTGTGTGGTTATGCCACAAGGAACCTAGCAGCCCGTACGGTTGGACTGAATGCATTTTTGTCACTTTTCTGCCTGGCTCCCTGGGGACCATGGGGGCTGTGGAAGGACTGAATAAGGCAAGAGTGACAACCCTGTTGTTAAGTGTTCTGGCCCACTGGGTTGTGCCTTCAGTGTAGTGTTGTGTCATTATGAGTGTTTTAGGGAGGGAGTTTAGATTTTGGTTATTTGCAGAGGCCATGCCCTAAAAACAGCTGTCTGCTGGACAATGGAGCACTAAGCTTGGAAATAGAAAGGAGTCTTTTAAAATAAAATGTGAAAATCCTGTGATCTATGCAAGTGGAAGGAAGAATGAATGTCTTGTGGAAATGCTAGCAGGACAGATGAATCTCTAATAGGGTGCTGCCTCAACTTTAATTTTATTCCTTATTTTTAATGGGAAAAAATTTAAAAATGTAATCCTTGCTGACTTGAGTTCTCTGTTGTGGTTTTAGTATTATTATTATTTTTTTTTAATAGGCAGAACAAAAAGAAATGAAAAACATTAACAGCCTTGCAAGGTCACTGGGACCTGAGCAGAATTATTAACCGGTTCTCTCTCTGTCAGGCACTCTGTATTCACTGTATCACAAGCTTAAAGCCAGACCTTATTTTACTAAGCAAAAAATGGTCCTTTTGTTGCTGTTTTCCCCCTAGTGTCATCTCTCATGGTTGCCAAGGAAACCAGTGTGTATCCTTTCAGCATAGGTTATTGGGCTTCAGGAAGGAAGTGCTCCAATGCTGGCCTGCTATTTTTATAGAACTGTTACATAATACAATCTATTAAAGCTTCCTCTTGGCATTTTATGGCACAAAGGGGAAATTAAGTTTGATGACTCCTAAGTGTTTGATGGAATATGTCAGGTGACTTCTGGAATGTTTTGTGCTCGCCACATAGCAACAATATTTCTCTATGCAATTCAAGAAGAACAAATGTACATTAGTGCCATTGGCAATATTTGCCTGCATGCAGATCACCAGAGGAAACTGAATTCTAAGCAGAGCAAGTACAAACACTGTAAAAGTGCAGAGCTCTATCAGCTAGGGGAGGAGAAGATGGCAGAGTAGTTGATGTTTTGCAATACAGGGATAAGAGGCCTAAAGGAAAATATATTTTTTTTCATTGCTTTATTCTATTGCACAGAACGTGGGAGGTGTCTTAATGCACTTGCTATCATCATATACATCTTTAGCATGTATATCGTAGTAGCTCTTTCTTTACTGACACTGATTCCTCAGAATTTAGCAGGATGAGAGAATTTGGATTGAAGCTTTGGTGTCACAAGCCTTGATCATTGAAAGACAGGAAACTCTGCAGAATTAGTGGTGTTGGCTATATGCTATACTCACATGACTCCTGTATATATTGCTGTCCTAGGTAGGCTATTGTTTCACATGTATTGCTGATTATTTGGAGATACATTTCAAAATTAGTAATTCTGGGTTTAATACCTGGTCAGGAAGAAATCTCTGCTTAGAGATTGTGTGCTCATAGTTCATTTGGCTGCTTCTTGTCAAGATCAGATCAACACTGTGTCTTGACTGATCAATAGCTATAAGGGTTAAGGCTTAGCATGCAAACAAGTTGCTGTGAAGAAGCAACAGTACTGCACATGGCTTGCTTCAAGGGAACTGCCCACATACTTGTACTTGGCCAGCATAAAAGATGATGTAATTCTAGCCAGCTTAATCCTCAGCGTCTGTTCTTTGTTGCCAAGTAGAAATCAGCGATCTTCGTAACTTCCTACTTGCCAGTATGGCAACTTCCATCCAAATTTAACATGGATCTAGAGTTTAGAATATGGATGACATGTAAGTGGAGATAGCTTTGTGCTGAGTTCTCAGTATTGTCCTTGAATGAAGGAAATAATGGGACTGTGAATGGCAAGGCTGCAAGCTTTGGGAAGGGCAGGAGAGCATCCTTCTAAAAACCTAAAGGGCTAGACTGACTTCTGATCTTTACTGCCCATGAAATTGGCATTGAAAGCTGCCAAGAGAAACTCACTTAATTTCTATGCAGGCAGAAATTCTATTAAAGCTGAGAATTACAATTCAAATATTTGAATTCACAGAAGTAGCTTCAATGATATTGTGCACTGCATTGGAGGGAGATTCATTGCTGGTTTCAACTGTTTCTGCTTATTTAAGAAATGACACTGCTCTCCTGAAACAGCAGGGAGGAAGTGAAGAATTTTCAGTTGCTTGTAATCCTTTGCAAATAACAGAAAACTTTCCATGATCGTAAAGTCTTAGCCACGCCATCCACGGAGGGCATCTGAGATGAACCCAGCAGGCAGAATAGCTCTGTAAGTATGGCTACTTACAGAGCCTCAGGCCTCAGTGCTTTCTTTGCTCCTGACAAATAATGGGATTTGATTCACACACACACACACACAAAAATACCGCATTTTTGACCAGGAGATTATACAGGACCCAAAGGATGCAAGACTTTACATGTCCCAGAGAAGGGGTGGAGGAGGAACCAGAGCTGAGTGCAGTTTTACTAGGCTCCAGTCGGCATGTGTGGAGCAAAGTGCTGTAAATCCGTTGCCATGATTTAACATGAAGAGTAGAGCTGGCTAGGAATTTTCCAAGAGAACATTTTTTTCACTGAACTTTTCATGGAAACTTGTCACTTTGGATGAAACTTTTGCGTGGAAAAAATTCTGTGATCTGGCACTTAGTTTCTATGCAAAGCCAGAGCAGAGAGCTTAGAATAGCCAATACCCTGGAGGGTAAAGCTTTTCCTGGGAATGCAGGAGATGTCTGCCAAACATGAGTTCTTGATTCTCAGGTTGCTGTTCCTTCAGTGTTACGAGCTCTGACTACTGGGCTTTTGGCTGTCCTATGTGGATGCCTCTTTCCCTACAGAGGGTGGGTGGTGAGAGAGACGTCTTTCACTCTGTCTGCTCTTCTTTGTCCTGATGCAGAAGACTTTGTTGTTTCCTGTCCTGCTAACACTTTTAGGATTACAAGGTTCCCGCCCTGACCCAATGATGTATTTCCACATACTCCAACCATATGCAGTCTGGTGTACTGTAGCTTGTTTATAGGCTGTAGGTCAGGAGGGATCCACTCTGCCCAGTCCTCCTTACTCAGAGTGGTGTCCTTGCTGGAGAAGTTGGGTGGTTACCCTTCTGCCTTGGAGCCAGGCTATGTCAGGAGGCCAGGGCAGAGAGTGTGGAGCTTGCCCAGGTCTCTGATATAGAGCTGGAATGTCCACTACTGCTCAGCTGCAGCAGCTCAGAAGGAATTAACGCTGCCCTGAAAGGGCTGGCTACTGTGTTCCCTGAAGTAAATAGTTGTCAGAGGGTGTGTTGTGCTGTAGAAATGAAAAATTTTTGCGACTTGGTTATTTGGAAGTTAAGAATAAAGGAGGATATAGCAGCCATGTGACTATTCCAGATCCAGCTAGCATTAGAACTGACCCAGGATTGCAGGGAGGTTGGAAAGCTGGTCATCTCCCTCCCTTCTCAGCTGTTTTTTTTTTTGGGGGTGGTTCTTTTTTGCCTTTTTTTTTTTTTTTTTTAATTAACAAGTGGTTTTATTTATTAATAAAAAACTTACATGAATGTAGTTTGAGTGACCTGGAACTATTTACATACTTGGGTTAAGTCTTTAAGGTACGGTTACTTGTATGAAATATTAAGGAAAAAAATCTGGCAACTTCAAAAATACACATTTTGGCATTCCCCTTACTCACATACTAGGCTTCTGTGCATCTGGTTAATGAAGTTGGAAGCAAGTACCTCTCACATGAGGAAAGAAATGCTGGACCATTTCATAGCCAGCTTCGAGTTGGAGCAGGCATTTTCAAAACAGGTCTTCAGACGTACACCTGATTTCAGCCTTGTTTTGTTTTTTTTTTTCTTCCTATTTTATTGTCATTTCTGATGTAATTTGTAAGTCATAACTACTTCTCCAGGCTTTGGAGATCCTGAGGTGACTAGCTTGGATCTACTATGTGATAGTCTGTCTTGGTCCTCAGTAACATTTAATTTAAATGAAGTGGAACAACTTTAGGAGGACATGCTGAGGCACTTTTCTAGCCTAGCAAATATGACCTTTTTTGGGCAGGTAGGAAACTAGTTTGAATTTCCTCTGAATTGGACAGAGAGGAGATAATAATGATTCTTCAGAAATTGCTCTTTCCCCAGTCCTTCCCCTTACTTTCCTCCAGAGTCATATCTCTGATTTGAGACAATGTTAAAATCACAACTGAGTTGCACAACTTTTGGTATCTATGAAACAGTAATTTCTGAAGGAAATGGAATTACTGAATATATATATTTTAACACTCCTGTTTTTCAGCTGGCCAGAATGAAAATGCCCAGTGAAGAGAAAGTGAAGCAGCAGGCAAAGTACAGACAAAGGTATGTGTAGGAGACTGGAGAATATACTTCCTGTGTTTGCTTTGAAAGCACTGATGTATAAAAATCCTTGTTTGTTTTTAGAAGGAACCTCTGAGGAAAACAACTGTGGGCAAGAACGTGCAAAATGCAGGACTCAAATTATCTGACTTTGTCCTTTCAAATGTTAAGTCAAACAGGAAGCTTTCTTTTTCTCCCTTTTTTTCTTTTGGCAACTACTTCCCCAAGCGTCCTATGGGGTGGAAATGGGCAATAAATAGCAGGGTATCTAATGGCATCATTCCAGGCCTCCCAGCTACTGTTGTTGGCAAGGAAATGGCTCTCCTTTTACTTCCTTCTTATTTTTAGAGTGCTGAGTTTTCAGGGGGTGGAGGGAGGGTTGGCTATTATCAGTGAGAGTCAAACCACAGTGGCTGCCTTCCGCAGAGCTCTTACCACCCTGCCAAACTGGAGGAAGTTGGAGTCATATAATTAACACCGCTAGTGGGTTTGCCTTGTAAGCGAGACTTCCTTTAGATTTAAAATGCATGCATGCAAAGCTGAACTGTCTCATTCCTATAGAATCTCTGTTTTAAATATGTTCACATTTTTGTCTTTTTCCTTCTTCCCCTGCTGCCACTTCTTCAAGTCTAAAAATGCTCTCTGGAGAGATGAATTGCAAACAGAACCAATGTTGCTTTTGGAAAAGTTGCTCAAAGTACAAGCCCTGGAGGACAACAGTGTGAAAAACTGTTCTTTATGGTTTGATGACTTCCATATAAAAATGTTCTTCTCCAAAATTGTATTTTGAGCTTGATGTATCTGAAGATCATTCTTTTTTTAACTCGTCAGTCATGCAGACTGTAGAAAATACAACTGGTTTATGCAAAATCAAGGGGTTGTTTGTCGTGAGGTAGTAAAAAGAACCAAAAATACCAAAGACTGGTTTTAAGTTTCAGAATTAAAGTTCTTTTTCGCTGTGAAACTTTAATTGCTATTCTTACTTTTTGTACAGGAGTGCTTGGTTTTCACTGTAAATTTGTAAGCCAGCTCGAATAATCTAGAATTCATTCATGCACAATAGGCTTGTATTTCCATTTGGCTGTGGAGCAAAGCTTTAAACTAGAGAAGTTCAGCTTGGTTTTGATTTTGACATGAACATTTCAAGTAGTCCTGTTTTAGCAAAGTTAATGCAAGAACATTTATTTCTGCTCTTTGTTGCATGTTCTGGACTTAAAGCAGTCATGGCTGTAAGCTTTGAACTTCAACAAGTACCCTGCATTGCTCCTTTCCCTGAAGCAGACTTAGCTAAGCCAAATTCTTCTTGACTAACATTTGACCTGTTCCAAAGAGGCTCTGCTGATAGAGATTACACATACTCCTTGGGCAGTATCTTCCATCAGAACTTTGTAACTTCATCTCAGAATGAGAGCTCATTGTCAGAGCTTTAGAAATCTATTCCATCTGGACTGTATTCTGCCATATTGTATGCAGATATATGTTTTGAAATTTTTCCTAGCAAATGAAAAACTGTTGCCTAGGCTAGATTTTTAGCATTGAGTCTTGAGGCAAGTTATGATACTTGATACCAGAGGAATGAGTAAGGAAAAAAACTGAGCAGAAATATCTGCTTATACAAGTTCAAATTCTGTTGGTCCAGATTGTGGCATGGAGTTTAAACATGGTAGAGATCTTTCACATGTGGTCTTGATGGTTTCTGAAGAATGATTTCGTAGTCATGAAGATGTCTCCAGATGGTTTATTAAGTCTGTGCTAATTGATCTAGCCCCCTGGGTACGTGTCAGTCCAGGTTTTGGCAAGACCTTGGCTGAAGCACAATACTTTCCATAGTCCTAGCAAAATGGTTCCATAATCCACAGTGGTTTATTGTTTCATATAGTTTCAGATGCAAAGGCTGAGAAGGACCCTGGGACTAGAAAAGTTATGATGTCAGATTGGACCCAGCCTAGGAAAGTTATGATGTCAGATTGATAGTGCAAGTTTTTTTCACTTGTGCTTTGCGTAGTCAGGTGGGAATGTAGACTTGAGGCAATGAGGTTTACATCATCTGCACTTGGTTTCCCACAGAGATTCATCTTGAATATAAGCACAGAGACATTTCTACTTTCATGTGATGATACTTTTGTACAAGCCTGCACATTCTTCTCAGTGTGAGATTATTTATCCTTTTTACCAGAAAAAAACAGCCTCAGCTATGAACAAGTAGGTATATTGCTACAAGATGATGATTTGACAAAACTGAAAGACTCTTCAAACAGATGGTTAGCATGTTCATCATGAGTCCAATGAATAAATGCCCAGAAAAATCCCTGTTGTCTAAGTACCAATTTATGGGAGAATACGTTCTAATTACTCTGTTATTACATTAAAAATATTCCCATTCTTCTTATTTTGTTGGCTCATTTGGCTTCCAAATGCACCTTTTATCAAACAGAGTTTGATGCTATGAGCAGGTAAACACAATAGAACTATTATAAACTTGCTTTGCACTTAAAATGTTCTGCTCTTTCGAACATATTAATGACAGGATTTAATAGTTTTCTGTACTTATTATTCATATCCACATATAACAGTCTTTGGAAAGTGTGAATTGGTTTTCATTACAGAGTTTGCAGTATCCGTAGTGAAATACTGCTTCTATCAAAAGCTCATTTATGATTGTAAGTTTCTGATAAAAATTTTTGTCTAATGTATCTTTAAAGGTTTAAGGGATCTTCCCCCTTCCTTTTGTCTTGAGAGTCCTGGTTTAAGGGGATAAAGCAGGATGTTTCTGACTGGTAACATTAACTGTGTTATCTGATTGGTGTGCTTGAATAGGGATTGTGTTAGAGCAACCCTTTTGGAAGCAGCAAATTAATCTCTTATCATTCTAAGCGTATGTGCTGAGACAAGGAGACTTGAAGTAAACCATAGTTAGGGACAATGTATATCTTTACTATCGGTGGACACTGCTACAGGACCATTCTGAAATACAATGCAATCTAAGTGATTACCTGGCTAATTTTATGCCAAATGTATGGTGCATATTTTTCAATATAGAGTAGTAAGATGTTATCCCATATCACAGCATGCAGCTTTCTGTTGAATACAATATTCTGTTGAATAATATAGGCATGAAGTACAGAACATGTGGCTTAACTATGGTTTTTGAAAGATGCAATCTATATATGTTGAGCACTTTGATGACCTTCATGGTAAAAGTATTTACTGTTTTGAAAAAACAAGGAAAACCAGTTATGATTTTTTCCCCTTTTGGGATGATCTGGGCTGATTAAATAAAACAGTATTTTACAAAACATCTAATTTGGCATGCAAGTGTTGAATGTCTTTTAAATATATTTTTGTTGCCCTCTATAAAAACTGTATAAACTATTCTATGTGTATCCATCAGGGCTCAGTTATTTTCCATTGGTACCATTTGGTCTTCTAACAGATGTGGTGAGACTTTATGAGAAGCACCGTGGAAGATGATTTATTTTCACATGATATAACATCATAGTCCTTATCTTTCCGTGGAAACAGGATCTGGGTTTTCCCCAAGTGGAAATTTTCTACTAAAAGATGAGTTTTAAAGTATGGTTAAGGAAGCAGAAGAGGAAATCCTTTGTTTTTGTTGGATTCAGGAAGAAAACTAATTCTGCAGGGACAAACACAGTACTACAAAGCAAGGTATTATATTTCATGCTAGAGTCCCCATAGTGGCATGTGAAAAGCAGGCAGAGAAAACCTCTAGAGAAACCTTAGGGTGTGCTCACTAGAAGATTGCTGCTCTATGTGGCTGCTGGGCTGTGTGGGTTATGAAGCAGGGGGAACATAGAGCTCTTGCTCTATGATGTCTGATAAAGTGGCTATGAGCTGGTTAGCTGTGGCCCCTTATGCTGCTGACCTGGTCTTCCTGAAGTTGGACTTGTGTAGAACGCCTATGGCTCCAGCCTTGCAGTTCTCACTGCCTAGATTCCTAGGCAGGTGACTTTGTAGCATGTAGATTGCCACTGCACAGTCATTTTCTGCTCTTGTTCATTTGTTTCAAGATGAACTGTCCAAAAAAGGCAGAGGTGAATAAGAAAGCAACCTTAAGAATGAAGAGGTAGAAACCTAGTTTACTGGGCCAAATAATCAGCGGTGTAGTTCCAATAGAGTTGGTAGAATTTGAGCACTGAGAAATTGGCCCACTTACAGTGAGTCACAGGCCAGCACATGTATGGCCCAAACATCCCATCTTCTTATGAAGCTGCTGGGTTAACACATTTGGCTACCTCTAATACTGCAACTGGGGTAGCTTAGACGTTAATGTATGAAAAGAGAATGGGAATCTATGAAAAAGGGGTTCAGTGTTAGGGAATAGAGACAGCACCTGGTATGCACTGTTTCTTGCTCTGATTTTTATTATCTTCTGTTATTTCCTTTTTCAGTTTGGTACATTTGATGACGGTTTGTAGGCCAGGGGTTACTAGCAAACTGGAGATTAAACTTCAGTGGAGGAGATCAAATGGCTTATATTTTAAAATATTAAATCTTGTAGATTCCAATTTAGCACAGTCTTTGACAGTTACATCTGAAAACTAGCAGATGCTAAAGGACATTTCTGTCCCCTGAAGGAATGCAAATATTTTATCTTCTGATGGACAGAAAGTCTGATTGGCAATTGCTATGTTTGTGTGCTATATATAAATATTTATATACATGTTATATGTATACATAATGATATGTATATATTTCCCTTCTGTAAAACTGGAACTACTCAAAGGTTTGAAGCTCCTGTATGCAGCACCTTTTGTGGATTCTTTTTTCTCTTCCTCTAATGAAAGCAAAGCAGACAGCTCTCAGGTGTGTCCAGAGATCTCAGTGACCTGAAAACAGTGCAGACTTATGCTGCTGTGGTTTATTTGAAGCCTTGTCATCTGCCTTTAGTCCTGCAGTGAGGTGCTAATCTTCTCAGATTTTGTGGACTGTTAGTACATGTAAAAAGCTGTCCAGAGGGATGATATCAGCATTGTTTCATGACATTAAAACAATGAATGTTTCAAAACATTTGCACTAGTTTAGAGTAAGTTTTACAAACTGATTTCAACCTTTTCCCATGATGAACATTCAGGGTTTTGATTTTTGGATGCGAGCAGTAAAATGTGAACTGAGTGTATAACAATTAAGAGAGAAGGTGGAAGCCCTTTGTGTTGAAAGGGACTTTTCCTGTGAAGCTGGTTAGTTAATTTGCTCAAAAATCTGTGGGATGGGAGGAATAAACTTTGTGATGAAATAAAAACCTTAAATGAAAACTTTCCACTTGGGTTGTATTTCTAGCCTGTCTTCAAAACCACTAAAACTTACTGAACTGAGAAAATGTTTTAGTTGCCAGAAACAAAAAAAATTCACTCTGCATGTAAACTGGAAACTCCAATTAAGTTGGAAATTGTTCTTTTTCCTAAAATGCTTTTGTGTGGGCTGGGAAGTGAGGGTATAATTTCCTGACCAGCTCTAACACAGGCTTTCAGTGCTGCTGCTTTTTATACTTGTACGCAGCCAGAACTGGTGACTAAGGTTTTGCTAATACAGCAGATTTTGTGAGCTAGTTGTTTGTGAGCATGTAGTTGAACTTTGCTGGCAAAGTGATGTGAAGATAAAGAAAGGGAAAGGATAGATTACAGTTCACTTC